CCCCCCCCCCCCCCCCAAATGGCACTGATGTTTCTAATCAAACACATTTGTGCTGCCTGTGACCTGTCTTGTTTCCTGGGAAGTAGGTTCCCAGCCCACCAGCAGGGCCGACCTAGACGACCTTTGCAACAAGAATATCAAGGCTCTTCTGTGTGTGCTAATGAGCCTGGGAAGCTGTGCTTTCTCTTCTTTCCTGCTTCACCGAGATGCATGCTGTTCTGCACCAAATCCAGGGAGAGGTATCTTTCCCAAATTCTTGAAGGAGACAGACTAGGAGACACAGAGTAGTTGTTTTTTGTTGTTGTTTGTTTGTTTGTTTTCATTTATTTTTATTAGTTGGAGGCTAATTACTTTACAATATTGTAGTGGTTTTTGTCATACATTGACATGAACTAGCCATGGATTTACATGTATTCCCCATCCTGATCCCCCCTCCCACCTCCCTCTCCACCCACTCTTTTTAAACAAAAAACATTTTAACACACAAACATTAGAAATAAACCTCCCCCTCTGAAACAAAGCCACACGTGAAACAGACCAAATCAACTATTCTTGTGTTTGATTTTGCACTCTGCAGTGTCAGTCTTGACTCTCCAAGTTCCCATGTGTGTGTGTTTGGGCAGGGGTGGGGGGGGTGCAAATTCGCTTCAATCGTACCTGACTCTCTGTGACCCCATGAGCTATAGCCCTGTAGCCCGCCAGGCTCCTCTGTCCATGGGAATCCTCCAGGCAAAATACTGGAGTGGGTTGCCATGCCCTCCTGCAGGGGATCTTCATGACCCAGGGGTCGAACCTGTGTCTCTTAAGTCTCCTGCATTGGCAGGCAAGTTCTTTACCACTAGCACCACTTAGTAATTAACAATACAAGATAAAATTATTTCAAAGTGAAGTTTTATCCCTCTCTCTCTCTTTTTCCTTTTAGGAACCAATAGGGCCAGTACCACAAGATGCATGTGTATCTCTATTTAACTGAAACAAATTTATGAAAATTAGAACTGGTAGATTGAAAGATGATTATTTCCCGCAAGTTTTCTTTAGTTTTAAAAAGTGATTTATTCAGGATAACTTTAAATAACTCTTCCTGAATTTAAAATATGATTCAATATGAAAAAAATAACTTCACAGCCATCTCCTCAGGAACATGTGTTTTGAGATGTGATGTAATCTTATGTTCTAAATTTAAGAATTGAAGGGTGAAGTGTCCCCATTCTTGATATTTATGCACAGACACACCATTTCTTTGATGCATCTAAGTGACAAATAGATGTCACTTTGTCTAAGTGACATCACAGAACTAAAAGCTGCCACAGTGAGACCGGGGTCAGAGCGTGAGTTCCAGACCAGCTTCATCCCTGGACAGTCTCTTCACTGTTCTGAGCTTTCCCTCCTGGTAGGATGATGGAGCAGGACGTCTCCCTCTCAGCAAAGGTCTGATGTGGTCACAGCTTCATGGAGGGTGGAGCTGGGTTACTAAGAGTGAAGGCTGGCTCCACAGCTACTCAGCCCTGTGCCCCTGGGCAGGTGGTCTACAGTATAGACTCAGTGCCAGCATTCCCAGTCTCCAGGATCTAATGCCTGGTGATCTGAGATTGAAATGGTATGAAAGAAATAAAGTGCACAGTAAATGGAATGCTCTTGAATCATCCTGAAAACATCCTCCTCCCATCTCACCATCAATGCAAGAATTGTCTTCCATAAAACCAGTCCCTCGTGCCAAAAAGGTTGGGGGTTGCTGGCATGGTTGGTCTGCATTGTCCATTTATCCATTAATGAAGCAAGAGGAAAACAGAGCCCTGCTGATCAGGTCACTGTGGGGACTCAATGATTTCATCCCTGCCAGTCACTTAGAATCGGGACCTTAGTACCGCTCCATGCATACTTAGTTGCTATATTTTCTTTTCTTTTTTTTTTTTCTAAGCCTTGGGTAAAGAATCACTGTAAATCTAATGTCATTTCTGTCCCTAACCAACTGGTACCCAAAGGGGTAGATTCTCCTCAACTGTGAAATGAAAGTGAAGTCACTCAGTTGTGTCTGACTCTTTGCGACCCCATGGACTATAGCCTACCAGGCTTCTCTGTCCATGGGATTTTCCAGGCAAGAGTACTGGAGTGGGTTGACATTGCCTTCTCCAGGGGATCTTCCTGACCCAGGGATTGAACCCAAGTCTCCCGCATTGCAGGCAGACGCTTTACCCTCTGAGCCACCAGGGTGAGGGAAGGTCCAAAACCATCCTGGCGTGATTAATCAGCTTGTCTCTGCCTAATGGGAGCTCCTTTCTCTGGTTTGTGAACTGACTATTTTCTCTGCCTGTGAAGTCAGAACTTAAGAAATTAAGTGCTGCCCAGTAAATAGTTAAGCAAATGTATTTGTGCTAAAATATACAACAAAAATTTCAAATAATAACCTAAATTGAGATATTTTTAAATTCTATAGACTTTCAGTTAACCTCAAAAAAAAACCCTGAACTTTAAATAATAATAAAGAAAAAGTAAAGATTTCCTTTACTAGGATAACTTGCTACTAAGTGATCAGAATTTGTGTTGATGACAGTGAACCTCTGAAAAGAAAAGTGCCAGGGATGGATGTTTCCCAGTTACACCTTACCCACTATGATGCATTAAAGGGTAAAAACACTAGAAAAGAAATGGCTAGAGAAAATCAAATGTGATGACTAGAGTCTAGGTATGAAAAACCATAAAATATCCATAATGAAAATAGAGTTGCTAAACAAAACCAAAATGACTCAATACTTTTTTTGTGTATATATAGCATTCCAAGCCTGCCAGTTTAAGACTCTGATTTCTTTGTTAGCCTTGAATTAATTATATTGATTTAAAAAACACAACACTGATCAAACTTCACGACTCGGAGTAACCTTAGCACTGTGTTGGGAATGCGAACAACACCTCCTCACCAAAAATAAAAGAAAGAAAGGAGCATATGAATGGGAGATTGAGCTTCAATGTTACTTTGTAGCTGACCCGTTGGAGATGGGGTGGTATAAAGCTCTCAAACCAACTTAAACAAGCAAATCTTGCCCAGGTGAGGAAGCCGCTAAATAGCACAGGTGATATATTGTAAGCCTACCCTTGTCATCCATTGCAGGATTCAAGGCTCCTGGATATTCTGCTTGCATTACTTTTTCCTGTAAAGCAGATGTTAGGATGAGAGTAATTTGCCAGGTGGCAGTGGTCAGGCTCTCTCGCCCCACATTTTGTGAGTAATGATTATGGAACAGCTGAGCTCACGTCCAGCACTGAGCATGTGCGCCATGAAGTACTTGCTTGGCCATGGGCTGCTTTTGCTCTGTAAGCATTGTAAGCCCCTCCTGGAAAGCCCTTGCAGGTGTGTGAGGGTGCGGAATGTTATGTCTGTGGCTGCCATGGCCACCACCAGAGAATAAACATGTCTTCAGCTCCCGCAGCCCCTCGCATTTTCTTCCAGCCTCTAAGCTCATGCCTTGCCTACCCCGGGCTTGGCCAGCAGTGTCACACACCCCGAGTTTGGCCAGCAGTGTCATACCTCAAGACAACTGGCATAGTCAGCAGGATTCCCAGCAGGTGGAGGAGCCTGAGGCTCCAGTGGATGGAGGAAGCCAGTGGCCACCGCACAGCATGTGGAACCCGGTGACTGAGGTCCTCTCTGCATGGGCCCCTGTGGAAGCCTGGAAGACAGTGGACGGGTCCCAGGATAGCAATGAGAAGGTGTTACAGGCAGTGAGTTCCCCTTTGCTGGACAAGGCAGCCCTGACCACTGCTGGTACCATGGGCTGGATTTTCCTGACCGCCCTGAAGGTGAGTATGGATCATGCCCTACGTGATGCAGTGCCGGTGTGCAGTGTGCAGAGATGCTTGCAAGAACTAGCTCAATGGATAGTGGTATTAGACCAAGAACTGCATGCCCCGGAAGAACCCAGCATCTCTGATAGCGAGCTGGTAAGGGAACATTGTGAGACTAAGGAACGTTATAAGACTTTGGGTCCCCACTTGTTAGCAAGGCCCGTTGTGCAGCAGAAGGAGGCGTGGGCAGCCAAGGAGGCGTGGATGCTCTGGGAGGCCAAAGAGAACAAGAACGGAACAGACTCTGCAGTCAGGATGAAGTCCAGGAAGGCCGGCAAAGAGCAAGGACTAACCCCAGTGGAGAGAGAGAAAAAAGGGAAAAGGGAAAAGGAAACCATAGAGTTGGGTCAGGGCCTGCGGAACCCATCCCTGTGGAGCCCTGAGAAGTCCACTGAGACTGCAAAGAGCCAGAAATGTCACTTAGGATGGCAAGTGAAGTGCAGAAAATACAAGGACCTGGGCTTCAGAGTGGTGGACGATGACAGGGAAACCATCCTTGTGCTTGGAACCAGCCGGACATCCATCCTTTCAGCTTCTACATTGGCCCAATGAGTGGAGGATCCTCCAGAAGATGACAAACGCTTTACAGGTGGCGTGTGAGACACCACTGTGAACAATGCCCTGTCCACCTCTTTGGATTCCTTAACTGCTTCATCGATGTTGGCAAGCTTGGGAGAAGTAGGTAGACCGCAGCAGGCAGAGGGGATTCGAAGTGTGATGATCCCAAAGCAGGGCCGAGCTGGTGAAGGCCCCTACCGGGTAAGGAGAATGCAAATGCGGGCTGATGTGTTGGCATAAATAAAACTGATCAAACAGCCCAATGCTCTGCTCCTGGAGCAATGGAGGCAGCGGAGGCTGTAGCAGCATTTTACCAAGTGTGGGAAGCGCCCACAGCAAGAGATACGGGCGGTCCAGGTAGACCACGTGGCGCCCACGACGTTCCCTCGGATGCCCTTTCACACTTTGAAACACTGTAAAGGCTGTGTCCTTACCTTTGGAAACTGTATGACTCTATGTGGACGTAAACTGTAAAGTCTGTGGCCCATGATGTGCTACTAACCTGGTTCTCTTGCAGATTTAGAACAATGTGAACCAGAGCTTACAAAGCACTTGGAATCACGTGGGTGGGCTGTGAACAGCTCAAAAATCCCCCCTTTCAAGGGGTGGGCCTGGCACCTGTGGAGCGTTTAAATCCCACAGGGGTGGAGTTGCCTGGGTGGAGGCCTCCTGCAATCTCACGAGGACAGACTGTGGACTGGACTTGGCCTTGGGAGATAAAGGCACTCCACGTGTGCTGGATGGCTCTTCTTTTCCCATGAGGCCAAGGACTGCAACAGGAGTCCCAGCTGATACCAGGCACTGGCTTTTGCTATGTGTTGGGGATGTAACTATTTGTTTTTGTAGCATCTGCTGCTGTTGCAAGATGTAAATCCAAGGGTCAGTGTGACTCGCCAAGGAAATGTCACAGGAGATGGATGACACGTAGCTTGTGAGGCAAGAGACCCTGAAGGGGATGGAACATAGGGAAAAAGCAATTGGCCAGGTGGCTGTGGTCAGTCTATCTCACCCCACGTTTTGTAAATAATGATTATGTAACAGATCACTTGCAGAACTGAGCATGCGTGTCATGAGGCACTTGCTTGGCCACTGGCTACTTTTGTTCGGTAAGCATAAATAAGCTCCACCTAGAAAGCCCTTGCAGGTGCGTTGGGCTGTTAACGTTATGCTGCTGCGGCCACCGCCACGGCCCCCACCATTAGGGAATAAACGCATCTGCAGCTCCTGTGGCTGCCCACATTTTCTTCCAGCCTCTTAGCTGGTACCTTGCCTCCCCTGGACTCAGTGAGCTACAGCAAGACAGACACGTGAAACTAATAGCCTAATAGAGTTCATGGTCAGTCATATTTACTAAATTTTTATTGTTTGAGCAGCTCTCTGTACTGTATAAGGTTACAGAACTTTTGTGGCCAAACCTGAAATAAAGTATATAACTTCATTATTTTATGAGTTATGACATTTATAGTAAATATGTCATTGCTAGGTAAAAGACAAAAGATAGATGTCCTGTAAAATATCTGGGAAACAGGAATGATTATCAAGAATTGAGAAACCCCTATAAGCCTATGCCCCAGAGATGAACAAATTTTAAACTTGTTGGAGTAGATTTATCTAAATTTTTCTCCTATTTTTCATATAAGGTTATGCTCTTTTCCCCTACTGAACCTCTTTTTAAAAAATATTTATGTCTTATTTGTTTGGCTGGGCTGGGTCTTAGTTGCAGCATGTGGGATCTAGCTCCCTGACCAGGGATCAAACCCAGACCCCCTGAATTGGGACTGTGGAGTCTTAGCTACTGGACACCAGGGAAGTCCTGGAACCTATTAAAACACTTTTGCAAAAAAAAAAAAAACACTTTTGCATAGCATATACTTGCCTCATTGGCACTTTTAATCAAACATTATGTGTAAATAATTTTAATCCCTCCATTTCCCTCCACAAAGGCCATCCGTTCTATCAGTTTTTACTAGTCCTTTTGCTATTCACGTTACCAGATTTCTTTAATTTTAAATTTACTTTAAAATTATTGCCTCCTTTAAATTTCTTCCTGCTTTAATAACTTTCTAAGTCCTGTTCATGTATCTACTGATTTCATGTTACAGTAGATCGGAAGCTTAGTCAGATATCCTGTATTCCCATGCACTTGTCTCTGTTTTTAGTCAAATCCATTATAACCATGTAAATACCATGAACCACTGAGGCAGGCACTGTACTATAATCATATTTTCCCTTTTTGTCATTTTTAAAAAATTATTATTTTTTTTTTTTGGAGTAGAGTTGCTTACAATATTGTGTTAGTTTCTACTGCACAGCAAAGTGAATCAGCTATACATAAAAAAATACTCTCTCTTTTTTTATTTCCTTCCCATTTAGGTGCCACAGAGCATTGATTAGGGTGCCCTGTGCTATATAATAGATTCTCATTAGTTCATATAATATCAGTGGTATGCATTTCCCAGGTGGCACTAGTGGCAAAGAACCCACCTACCATATAGGAGACGTAAGAAACACAGTTTGATCCCTGGGTTGGGAAGATCCCCTGGAGGAGGGCATGGCAACCCACTCCAGTACTCTTGTCTGGAGAACCCCATGGACAGAGGGCCTGGGAGCCTGGTGGTCTATGGTCCATAGGCTGGCAAAGAGTTGGACACAACTGAAGTGACTTCGCACACACGTACCCGCCAATAGTATATATATGTTAATCTCACCCCCTCTTCCCCTTCTTTGTGTCCATATGTTTGTTTTCCACGTCTGTATCTCTATCTCTGTTTTGTAAATAAGGTCACTGATACCTTTTTTCTAGATCCCACATATATGGGTTATTTTATGATATTTGTTTTTTGCCATCTGCCTTAACTTCATTTTGTATGACAGCCTGGGTCCATCCACCCTTTTTGCTGTAAACAGCTAAGACTTCCACACTTCTCAGCTCAGGACAGTTTTCTACACAGTCATGTGTGTTGGATAACTTACCAGTTCTGGAGTTCCCCGAGCCCCTACCCACACCCCTGGCTGCCAGTCTGAAGTGGCCGCCCCCTGCATCGCCCAGCGCCTCTGTGTGACTCTCAGGATTCCTTACATTTCTCCCTGGAGTTGGGTTTCCCAAGTCCTGTATCTTCCCCTGAGTTCCCCTTCTTCCTCTTCCATCAGTCACTTCTGAGAAAGGGTGCCTGAGATATACATTCACAGGGCGGGAAGGGGAGGGAGCGGCAAATTGAGAGTATCATTGACATACATACATATATATATATATACATATATATATATTCTACCATGTGTAAAATAGCTCGTGGGAAGCTGCTATAGAGCATGAGAATCTCAACTCAGTGCTCTGTGATGACCTAGAGTCGTGGGGTCGTGGGATGGGGGCGGGGTAGGAGGGAGGTCCTAAAGGGAGGGGATGTAGGTACACATACAGCTGATTTTGGAGAAAATGGCATTTGTTCTTGTTTCTCTTCTCTCTTCCTCTTCATCCTTTCTTTCTCAGTCTCTCTCTGTCTCTCTGATATGTAATTGTGTTTTTTAACTCGTTTCCTACTCTGGGGGCTTTCATCTTATCCCTTCATTTTCATTATTATAAACATTGCCCGTAAAAAAAAAAAGTCCAGTATTTGAGCATATCTCTTTGCACACACATTTTACAATATGCCATCATTTTCCAAATTACCCTCCAAAATATAAGTTTCATGTCTAACAAGTTTGTGTAAGAGTAATGGCTCTTCTCTTACCCTTTTCAACATTAAACATTATCTCTTATCGTTTTCAATTTGGCAGGCAAATTAATTTCATGCCATCTTTCATTCTTCTGAATATATGCCTTTGGAAAGCAATATAGTTCTGAAAGTAGAACAGTCATTCTTTTACATAAATAGTCATATGACAATTCCTACTGATAAAGACAAATGGTAAAAAATTTAAATAAATTTGTGGATAAAGATCAATTAAATATTTAAGTAATTATGAATTCCCTGTGGCTCAGTGGGAAAGAATCTGCCTGCAATGCAGGAGATGCAGGAGACCTGAGTTCAATCCCTGGGTTAGAAAGATCCACTGGAGGATTAAATGGCAACCCACTCCAATATTTCCCTGGGAAATCCCAAGGACAGAGGAGCCCGGCAGGCTACACTCCATGGGGTCACAGTATCAGACACAACTGAGTGAATAAGCATAGCACAACACAATTATGAATTAAATGCGCGTGTATGTTTGTAAAGAGATAGTATGTTAGGTTAAGAAACAAATCAAAAAAATTCTGCTATATCTTGTGTCAATAACATCTTACATTTAAACTTGGATATTGCTTTCTATCCCCTTTATTAATTTTTTAAATGCAGGTAAAGTACCAATGACCAAAATATGAGAGCCCCCTGGTGGTGAAAGTGGTGAAAATGCCTTTAGACACAGAGACATTTATCCTTCGCTTAAATTATAAATCCATGAGATCCAGGTATTTTAAAGTTCCTGGAAATACAGGGGGAAAAGTTAATAAAAAGATTAACAACACTAACTTGAAATTTTAAAGTTTTCAAATGTAACTTCATTAGGGAAAATTATGGTTTTTGGAGGTGATAAAGGGCGAAGCTCAGTCGAGTTCCTATGAGTGTCGCTGGAAACCGCAGAAATCACACCTACATGTCAGGTCACAGAGGACTTATGATGTGCCTGGATCCTTGATGACCACTCAGCAATTTTAAAGCCCCTTGAGATGGTCTCCAAGAAATTGCTGTCATTTTTCCTTGAAGAAAGTGAGGATATGCAAGCTGGAGAAGATAGGAAGCATGTCAGTTATTTGCAAGGGTCAGAAGGGCTTTGTAATGGTGATATTTGTAATAGTGTAATATTTGTGCAAATATCTGTACAAATAATTGTACAAATAGTATAATATTTGTAATAGTGGTTCCCCTCCACACCTGGACTGCAAAGGCATAAATAGAAGCTGAGAGTAGGGCGAGCAGTTTCAGGTCCATATAAGGAGTAGCTTACAATTTTTTATTAATTTTTATTTGAGTATAACTGCTTTACAATGTTACAGCTATATGTGTGCATGTAGCCTCTCTTCTTTGGATTTCCTTCCTCTTTAGGTCATCACAGAGAACTTAGTAAAGTTCCCTGTGCTATATGGTAGGTTTTCATTAGTGAGCTATTTTATACATAGCATCAGTACTATACAGATGTCAATCCCAATTGCCCAATTCCTCTCC